ATAAATTTTTGAATAAATAATTAATGAATTTTTAATAAATAATTAATGAACTTTTAATAAATAATTTAATAAACAGTTGCCAAATATTTAATGAATTGTTAATAAATTTTTAATAAATACTTTTAATGAATAGTTATCAAATTTTTTAATGAATAGTTGATAAATTTTTGATGAATTTTTTGCAAATTATTAATAAATCAATACTGAATTTTTATTTAATTGTTAATAAATAATTTTGTAATGAATTTTTAATGAATTATTGCCAAATTGTTAATAAATTTTTATCAGATTATTAACGAATTATTTGACAAATTGCTAATAAATTTTTTGACAAATTTTTAATATGTCAATTTTTTTAATTGACAAATTTTTAATATGTCGATTTTTTTAATTGTCAAATTTTTGATTGCTACTTTATTGTTGAAATAGTAATATGCTGAGTGGCAGTAATCGAAAAGAATTCAGCAATATTGTTTTTATTAAATTTAATCAAATTCAGTAAAAATTTAATTGTTAAATGACATAATTTTGATTAGTGATAATAATATTTTGATAAATAATAGAGAGCTAGAAAAAATAGAAAAATAAATAGTAAAGCTTATTAAAAAATATCCGAAAAAAAGTTAAGACATAATTAATTTTTATATAAAACCAATTGAAAAAAACTTATTAATAAAAGCTAGATTAATAATTTATTATCAAATTTCGTTAATCTTTTATTAATAAATTTAATTAAATTTGATAATAATTCAACTGCCGAATGTCACAATTGCAATTATAAATATTAAAAAAAAAATATCAATTGTTCAATAATTTAAATTAATTAAAATTTTTTAATTTTTAAATCATCAATACAAATTATTATAGATTTTTAAAACATTATAGTAATAATATACTATAGATCAAAAATAAAATGTTTTTAAATATTAAAACTGGTATTCTGCCTGCCGAAAATCGTTTGATTTATTTGCTAAATTGTAACCAGACATGCTATGCTAAATTGGTGCGTAATACCGTTACCACAAGGAGATAAGGGGTGGTATGATATTGGGATCAGTATAATGCGATTCTGGAAAAGATCGTCCCGGTACTGACCGAATCTTACACTAATATCACGTGACAGAAACACAGTATTTATTATTTTGCTGCACTGATGATTGTATGGGAAACTTTCTCTTTCTACTCTTCAAGATTATACCCAGTCAATAAACCGTCTTCTTGGATCTCAATTTTTTCTTCGACCATCTTTACCACTTTGCAATATGGAGAATAATATTATCAGATTAAGAAATTTAGGTAGTAGTATTAATAATCGTAATTGTGAGTCTCGTGGGACTCAGCTGTTTGCCGTCTCGAAACGAAATACTTCTGCTGCCGGCAAGAGAGAATACTTCTATTACTCTACCTGTAAGTTTAATGTATGTGAAATATTTTTTTATGCAAATTTTTATCATAAGTTTTTTTATCGATTAGTGGGTAAGAAGATTGGATGGTATTCCTGTAAGTAGATTTAAATTATATTTATTTTTTCTTTTTTCCGATGACATAAACGTTAATCTTCAACTGCCCACTAAAGGACATGACCCCCGAGTTTTTCTTGAACTTGGGGGAACACAACGTCTTAGCATCTGAATGCAACAGCAAAACTTTGTCCTTTGTAAATAAATTCTTTCGCGGTGCTCCAGCCAAGGTTGACCACGTGACCATAATATCAACGCATGATCCACAAAATTGTATATGGGAGGGGTTTATCAAGAACGGCATCTTTTTCCTGGAAGGAAACGCAGAATTAAAAGAAAGGTGTGTTTCTTTTTCGTTTCATATATTACGCGTTTTCGTTAGGTTACAGATTAAAATTTTTGCCAGGTCACACATCCCATTTTCACACAAAATCGCGAAATAATTTTTTATTATCCCTTGAACAACGTAAGTGGTCTTTTGACTGCTACGAAGAAAAAGCGGAGTTAACCCTCCTCAATAGTAGTGATTCTAAGCGTTTGAGTGAACTTGCGGAGTTGTGACCCTCACATATTTTCCTAACAGTTTTGAATTGATTTTTTGATGCAGAATGGTCTCAATAATTGAATTGAGCGAAGAATGCCTGAAATGTAATTCCTTAGTTGTGTGCCTTGATAGGAAATTTCCCGATCTATGTAAGTTTCTATTAAATTTACCTAAGATATTGATTAACTTCTAATCAGATATTGCCTTTAGCCAATTTTATTCGTGACTTTTTATATGTCGGCTTTGAGCTCGTCTGGCCGGGGACAATTGAGCATAATTCTAATGAATACATTCTTGTGGGCATGGAGTTGTGATCTTATAAATGGATATGTAATGGTTGTTCCAATTGCAATTTCTTTGCTTGACTATTCATAGCAAGGTCATAAGTTTTGCTGTTATAATGATTTCCTCATTTTATAATTTTCGAGTGTAATTCGTCAAAGCAATATGGTAAACATTTTATTTTATGTACAGAGTAATAAATATAAATAGATTATAATTTGTGTTTTTCAACTAAGAAATTAAAACATTAATTGTTGAGTGTGTGGATAGAATGATATTAGAAACTTCGAACGAACATGAACACCTACCTCTAAACTTCGTGTGTTGTCCCAGAGCGACAACCTTCCTCGTTGCTTTTTCTTTTATGATGGTGTGGGTATTTGCCAGTGCGTTTCCAATTTTATGGATAAAACATTCGATTACAATTGTATCGCCGACGGTAGCAGGTGAAACAAAGGATATTGCCATATCAGTAGACACGCCTCCCTCTTTATATCTGGAGTCTTGGATAAAATTGTTAATACCATCAATTCAGTTCAAAAATAAGAAAATAAATGAATACCTTGAGTGGCCATCAATGTGGTAGTACTCAGAATATCTATTAGACACGCGGTAAACCCACCAAACAACGAACGGTTCGCATTGCAATCCTCTTCTCCCAGAACTAATTCAAAAACGCATTTCTTACTTGAAGCATGGGTAACTTTTATTCTCTTGGAAAGGGTTTTCAGATAAATTTCACGATGAGGCACCGTGTCAAAATATTTTTGAATCCTTTGAAGTAATAATTGGTCATTTTGTGTCTCGGAGTCGGGCATGCTGAAAAATCTTTTTGTTTATAACGCTGGGCCAAAAAGTGGATTTTTTTCTAATTTGATTACATAATTGTGTGCGCTATTTATAAAACGTCTTATTTTAAATTGTGCTAAATAGAATTGTATACAGATATTTTATTATTCGAAAAAAAAAAAAATGGTTATAAAAATAATCAAAATATCTATAAATCTTAAATATCAATATTACAAATATTTATATAGTTTTATAAACCTGCCAAGGCAGACTCGTGGTTTTGTCGATATAAAATATCGGAATCAAAAGATTAATTAAAAACCGATAAAACGACTCGATCAATGAACAAAAAGCATCTATCTTTCCAACTGTTATGCGAATGGCTACGCATTTCCACAATCCCTTATGTATGTACCGTAACTTTGAAACTTCAACTTTCCCAATATCATGCACAACTAACACCAAAACGTACTACCCCATTAACACCGTGAGTCACCTCAAAAATCTCCTATTAGATATTACCGTTAACATGCGTGATGGCAAAGGTTGCATCGACATACGGCTTAATTAATGGAATATAAAGAATTTTTTTCTTTAGCAACTTGGAAAGATCTAACGTGTGCTGTATGTTAATCATCATCCCGATTAACCAAATATAATCTGGGCTCTGAGGTTGCTCGAGGTGGCCGATATACTTGTGATAACTATAAACATCACCGAATCAAATCTGATGGAATAAAGATTGGACTAATGCAATCTTGACCACAGAGCTTGCTCGTTCGTTATTACCGTGCATGTCCGGAGGAAATTTTTCGCTGATAACAAATTAGGCCGGAATAGATGAAATCACCAATAAACTCTCTCTTCGACACATGATTCCTTCACCGATTCCGGGTCTAGAATAGATCCCAGATGGTTTACGAGCAAGATGCGATACAGCCCCTCCTCCAGATTAAGAAGAGTCATGCTAATGAATCATTTCCTGATTCAGATAGTTACAAAGGCCATGATACTTTTTCATAATCCAGTAGTAGTTGTAGGAAAATTACTTGCCTCCCCCACTTTAGGGCTCATGATAAACCGTGCACCCCGTAAATTGAATGGCAAAACTTACCGTACCCGAGAATATATACGCAAATAGAAGAAAACTAACCTTATTTACGAGGTGTAACATCTAACAAAAAATACCTTTGGATTTAATTATTGATTACAGGTATCACTTTAAATCTATCAATCTTTCTTGTTAAAAAAAGTCGTCTGACACGTCATTTCTATTAAGTGGCTTATACGTGTTGATCATTAGGAAAATCACATGATAACCTTAATTGTATCATAGGTGCATGCTCACACAAAGGTATCTTTATTCATTGACAGAATGCCTAGCAAAGAACGTAAAGGGACACTTATGGTTCACGTAGGCAAGTAGTAATTCCTGGGTACGGTGTTCTGTTCACTGTTTATTTTTCATTCCTTACGATGGTTGCCGTTTTTTTTTTTTTGCTTTAATTAGTTGAGGGTAGAAATCTCAGGGATTTGGATGATGTTGGTACGTCATTAATGTTTATTTAATCTTGGATTTTGAATTTAAAAAGCATTCTAACGAGCTACAATTCCATCATATTATCATCGGCTTAAGGTCAAGGTAAATAATGAATAATTAACAGTTATGAGGACCTTCGTGAAGAAAATCATTCGTTTAGAATCTCGTTGCCAAATTATTCATCACGAAATACAGGTGATCCTTATGCTCAAATTTGGTTGGACAAATCTAACCACAAGTTTGAAACCGAATCAAGAAGTGGAACTTCCACACCCGTCTGGGACAGGATTTTTCATTAGTAGGTTTTTTATGTTTTCATAAATTGACCCGGCGAGTACCACATAATTCTTAATCCAACTTTCCTTCAAGTCATGTGAATGGCCAACCTGAACTTCACCTTAGAATCATGGACTCCGATGTTTTTATTGACGAAGAGGTATCAATTTTGTGCCTTTTGTGATGTAGTTTAAACGAATCACCGACCTCGTTTGTTTCTTTGATAGATCGGTTGTGCAAGAGTGCCCCTCGAAAGAATTTACGAGAACTATTATGATGACTTTTGGGTAAAATTGCCCGACCACTTGGGCAGAAACAATGGAGAAATTCGTTTGGTCTTGGAATTTAAACCATATCAGCAACAACAACATATGTGCATATATTAAATATTTGGATGTATTTATATTTAAAAATGTATACGGTCAATAACACTATATAAATAGCACGTGACTTGTGCTGCATATATATACATTACGCGATGCAGATTCGATATTTTTTCTTTTTTTTTTCGATGAACAAACTTCGTAATTCTCCTTTACCCCTTTCGTACTGGGGGGGACGTACCTTTCACATAAAGTCCAACAGCTTGCCGCCTTCTTGGTTGGTTGTTTCTTCGAGAAAGTTTTCTACAGGGATTACACCTGCAGAATCTGCTAAAGATTCCACTGATGTCCAGAAATCTAAAGGCGAATCAACTGATGTCTTGAAACAAGCGGTCAATCGAGATCTTACTTGGTCAAAGTCTCAACGAAGCAGAAAGGATGCCATGGTTGGGCCTCGTTTCGAACAAACCGATTTGAAAGCTCAGGCGTGTTTCAAGTTCCTGGAGAATTTACTTGTACATCCGGTTCTTTTGCGATCCACGTACAAATCTAATTCTATTTGACCGATCATTCTTTTTACGCATACAACAGCCGAGACCTTTGGCTGCGATAGAGTTAATCGCCGAAGAGCCTATTCATTATGTAGAGGGTCGAACTGCTGTGTGTCATGGAGGTGTGCATTTGGTGCAATTTGAAGAGAGTTGCAGGATCTTTCTTTGACAACAATTTTGTTCTTTAGGAGGTGGCGCACTGGGTCATCCGCAAATTTACATAAATCTGGTGAATATCATCTTCATTCGAAATTATCGTTAGGAATTTCTTACTTATCTTAGTCTCCTTTCACAAAAGGATCAACCAGGCCCTCATGTTTGCGGCTATTGTAAGTTGCACTTCCTGATTGATTGATTCACTTGAATCGTAACGTCATTTAACTCCTTGGAAACGTTCGTAATTTAATAGGCGGAATAAGATTCGAACATAAGTCGCATCACCATCATTAAAATTAGTTATAATTAGAGAGAATTAGTCTTCTTTGAATGTAAAATTTCTCAGGTGCAAGATTCTCATGCATTTTGATTTTTCCATGTAGTTCTTACCAGAATATTTAACAGGCTATCAAAGAATTTTTACGACCATATTGTTGGTGCGTGTGATGAAAAAGGACATTTGACCTGAAGGTTTGCACAAAGAAAATAATGAAGCCTAAGTTTCTACTATCTAGGTGACATGGCCGAGTGGTCTAAGGCGCTGCGTTCAGGTCGCAGTCTCAGTAATGGGGCGTGAGTTCGAATCTCACTGTCACCACATGCTACCGAACTTTTTCTCAAATCTGGTGTCACCTAGCACACGACATTTTTTTTTTTTTTTTCGAAATTATTTGTGGTACGCTAAGAGATTAACACGGCGCATTGTCATATGTGTGCGCTTGTGATACTTTCAAAGGCTGAAGTTTCTTGCGCATACGCGCCGGAAACCCCATTGTAGTCATGTGACAACATTTGTTCCAATTTCGAAACATAGATACGTAAGCACATGAAGCCACATGTATCGTGGCTGCATTTGATGTCTCTGTAATTTCAAAAATTCTTGTTTAGGAAATGTTACCACCTTGCGGAACGGATCGGATCATTATCTTCAATAAAAAGACGGAAAAAAAAATCTGATTGCTTCGTTATTTCTTGAAACCTCTACCCTGCTCGTTGTCATGCCAAAAGATCTTGATAAAAAAAACCTCACGATCCACTTTCTCGCGGGTGGCGGAGCCGGTTTAACGGAGGCACTATGTTGTCATCCTTTGGACACTATAAAAGTGAGAATGCAGCTGAACAAGAAGGTAGGTTTTAATTTGCACTTCGTGATAATGCCTTTCGGTCAACTGTTTGGAATGTTAAATTTCGATTCAACGATTTCTCACAGAGTACGAGGCCCGGTTTTCTTACAGTAGCCGTCAATATCATACGAAAAGAGTCACCCTTGGCATTATACAAAGGACTTGGTGCGGTGGTAACAGGAATCGTGCCGAAGATGGCCATTCGTTTCTCCAGCTTTGAATTATACAAGAGTTGGTTAGCTGATAAAACAACGGGCAAGGTCTCAACCGTGGCCACATTTTTTGGTGGGTCTCTTGTTACTTCAATGACATCATTAGTGTGTTCTAGGAACAATTGATCTATTCTAAATCTTTTTGATTATCCATCTTTTCTGATTTTACGATCAGCTTATCTAACATTACACAAAAGATCTTATCTAAATTAACTATACTCATCTATTCTTCTCATGTGATCCATCCATTAAATTTTTCATACGCGTTCATTGCGCACAATATTCAGCCGGGCTTGGTGCAGGTACTACAGAAGCTGTGCTTGTTGTAACTCCTATGGATGTCATTAAGATCCGCCTGCAAGCTCAACGACATTCGATGACCGACTCTTTTGACATTCCAAAGTACCGAAATGCGGGACATGCCGCGTATACCATTGTAAAGGAGGAAGGACTTATAGCTTTGTACAAGGGCGTGGGTTTGACCGCGCTCAGGCAAGCCACAAATCAAGCCGTCAATTTTACTGTATACCAAGAAATGAAAAAGCATATGAAAAAAATACAGGCCACTAGAGAAGGTCAAGAACTGCCTTCCTATCAACACTTGTTGATGGGTGGTATCAGTGGCGCTATGGGTAAATTAAAAACGAACACTTTTTCTTTCTTTTGATGAAAACCATTTGCAATCATGTTAACTGGTTTCCACGAATTAGGTCCTATTGCCAATGCTCCGATTGACACCATAAAAACACGTATCCAGCGGTCGAATAGCCCCGACAAAGGTTGGACGAGACTCAAGTCCGTTGTGGTAAACCTCATCGAAAAAGAAGGTTACATGGCCTTTTACAAGGGTCTGTTTCCTCGTTTGATGCGTGTAGGTGTAGGCCAAGCTGTTACCTTTGCCGCTTACGAAAGAATCAAGTCTTATATGAACCTACTCTCTTGGATTACGGCCGATGAGAAATATTGAAAACCATTACCACCAGGCTCAAGATGTTAATAACTTAAATGCGATATGATGGGTTCAATTTATTAATGGAACGCGTAATTTTATTTCGGTGGAAGGAAGGATCAAGTTTTACTAATTATATTATAATCGACTACATGGATCTTGGAAAAAATACAACATATTTATCATTGCTTTCGTTATTTAATTCACGAATCAATTACGTTTGACGAATAGAAAAGGCCTAAAGACAATAATAAAGTATTTAGAAGTTCACCTAGATATCTATAAATTTCGATTCTAGCGAAATACATGGAAATTCATTGACGCTAAGGTGTTTTACATTTTTCTAAAAAAAATATGCACGTGAATTTTAACATCTATATACAGTATATCTTTAACGCCTCTAAAAAATTCAAAATTAACGTAAGAAGGCAATATACAGTAGCATTGTCCTGTGATAAAAAGTATTTAATTATATTACGTAATGAGAAATCGACTGACTTTGTTCTGAAAGTAGTCGTCGCTTGGTTCCGACGCCATCAAACCGGCGGAGCCGTGCATGCCTATCCCTCCCTCGATATTCTAAGCGAATATCCTCTTTACCAGTTCGGATCTTCATAGGAGATCCGACATAAAATATATTTGCCAATACGAATGCGGCCTGAACAGGTCGACGACTGGAAAATGAATATTATCCAATAGACTGATGGCCGAATTCAAAAATGCGCTATTTATGTTATTGGTTATTTTATTAGGATCTTGCCAAGTAAAAATCGTGCGACGATCCCCCCTACTTACCGGTTCAACGAGATACCGTATAATCTATAGATTATAATACATACTGTATATTACTAAAGATCAGAAATATGGAATGCCACAACCAAAAAAAATATAGAATGGTAATTAGCATTTGGGATCGTAAGACCTCAGTTTAAAGCATAAACCGATTCGATTCGTTATTTGAATTGAAATATTCAAAACCAAAGGATCGAAAACGATTCGATAATCGAATGCAGATTTGATATCAAAAACTGATGGAATGTTTGACAATCAAATCTAAAATTCGAAATCAGCTTACTAGCCAAGTCAAAGGGTTGATTCATGTTAGATGCAGTAAAATGCATATAGTATTTAAATTATTAACAAAATTACTTTATATTAATTAATGCAATATAAAATTTTTAAATCTCATACTGACTCACTCATCAATAACTTTCAATTCTCAAAAGAGCTTCAACCTCTAAATGAAACCTTGAGAATAATATTTTGCTTTATATCAAATTTTGGATAAAGACTCTTTTAATTTAACTATCATTGCTATCAGATTGTTATTGTCTATTATTCTTCAAGAAATTGATTTTTGAAAAACTATCATAGAAAAAGAAGAAAATAAAAGAAAAAGAGAAATCTAAAAATGCACAAGTATATTACATAAAAGAGAAAAAAAAGATTTTATAAAGTCATATATTTTTTAAAGAATCTTGGTTAGAAATTTCTTTTTATTAAAATTCACTGTTTTAAAAATTTTTTTTTCTTTTTTTTAATTATCTAAGAAACTTATTTATTTGAGATCATAATTATTTTTTTGTAATTGTTTGAGGTACTTATTATCTACTTTAATTCAATTTTCTATTTGATACTTTTTTTCTGTTAAGAAGAAAACCAACTTATAATTTTTTACTTTTTAAACTTATTGTTTAACTAAAATAAAAAAAATAATCCTTTCATATATTTCATTTAATTAGAATAATAAAAAATTAAAAATCTTGACTTGAACAAATTACTATTTTCTCATTATTTAGAAATTAATACTTATTTTAATAATCTTGTGATTAGTTATATATAATTTGAAAAAATGAAAAAGTTTATATATATATTTTTTTTTCTTTATTAATAATATTATCAAGATATATAATATAATTCATAAAAGTTTTTTTATATTTTGCTATTACTATATATATTTTATAATAATCAATTATCTTTAGTAAAAACTATATATATTTCTATTAGGGTTGAATTGATATAAATAAAATTCTTTAAAAAGTTTAAAAAATAAATAATTATAAGTAAATAGAAATAGTAAATAAAATTTTTTTCAAGATTTAGACTTTTATTTATCCATTTTTTTATTATAAAAGATCTTTATATATATTTTTACTTTCAAAAAAAGGTTTTTAATATATAAATATTGGTTTTTATTTCTTTTAAAACTTTCTTACCACAGATAAAAAAGATGTTTTTTTTTTAATTTTTTTAAATCTTTAAAAGTCAAGTTTTTGTTTAAAGAAGAATATTAACAATATATATACAGTTGCTTCCAAAGGTTTGAGTCCACTTACTATATTTTTATTATAAATTTCAACTTTAACAATTTTTAAATCCTTAATTATACAATCAAAA